TTTAGAAAAAATGGAAAATACTTACTTAGAAACTTAGGACTAAAACTTAGAAAAAATGGAAAATACTTAGAAACTTAGTACTACAACTTAGAAAAATGGCAAATACTTAGAAACTGAGTACTAAAACTTAGAAAAAATGGCAAATACTTAGAAACTGAGTACTAAAACTTAGAAAAAATGGAAAATACTTAGAAACTTAGTACTAACACTTAGAAAAAATGGAAAATACTTCGAAACTTAGTATTACAGCTTAGAAAAATGGAAAATACTTAGAAACTTAGTATTACAGCTTAGAAAAAATGGAAAATACTAAGAAACTTAGTACTAAAACTCAGAAAAAATTTAAAATATTTAGAAACTTAGTACTATTTTGACTATTTTGCCTTGCTTAAATCATTTTTTTTACTAAGGATAAAAGATACACACACACAAAATACAGTTTAAACACATTAGCAGATGTTAGATGTTCAGTGGAAGGTTGATGCTTCTCCTGAAAACTGACCCTAGTAATCTCACAGATATGCATCTCCTCTTGAGTTTCACAAGAGAGCTCAATAATGTCTCAAACTCTGCTCAGATTTGTCTGCCATCAAATGTCTGAGATCTTACTATGAGATTTTGTATTGTTTAAATGGATACTGCACTAGGGATAAAAGACAAACACACACAAATACAATTAGAACATATTAGTGGATGACAGCCAATCACACGGCAAGAAAACACAGCAGCTGAAGGGTCAGAGGTCGCACAGGAAGCTCAACAGGTTTGACCCCCGTCACGACATCGGACTCCATCTAATGACAACAACTGAAGCAAATGAGACACTTAAAACGTCTGAATATCATTGAACATGTAATAAAATCTCAAATAATTTATTGTAAGTAAAGAGTATCTCTCTCTCTCTGTGTGTCCGTCTCTCCTCTATTGAGCCAATGGTGTGTGTGTGTGTGTTCAAGCGTCAGTAGCGTCTCTGAACAATAGTGTGGATCTCCATATGTGTGCGGCCTCGCGTTCAACAGGCCATCTGCCCGTGTGTGTTTGTGTCTGACTCGCACACACTCGCTCACAAAACAGCCTCAATTAAAGCAGCGATTGTGCTTTAATGACTTCAGGACAGAAACCCTCCCAAATCCTCCGCTGACCGTAATCACTCACAAACAGAACAAAACAACCAGAGGGACACAATAGCACGGCTCCAGAACTCCCGTTGCCTTGCCTACTGCCTAAATAAACAGCTACACTTTTAGATAGCTAGTGCGCTAAGCCAAGCAGCACCTCATAAGGAGATGATGTGAAACACTTCGTGCAGGCATCAACTCTGATAGCGCGGCTCATGCAAAACACAAGAAATATACAATTCACAATAAAGTTTGATGTTAGCATATTGTTAAGTAGACAACTCACTGATTCCAATCACTTTTTTTTGTTGTTGTTGGTAAAATTTGATTTAAGTAATTTGACAATAACACGTCGTTCATAGTTGATTTCAATAAAGAGTTACTGATTGCAATAATTTAATATTAGTTTGTAACTAACATTTAATTCACATTTAATTTCTATAGTTTGATGTTAGCATGTAATAACATGACAGTTCAATTGCTAACTTCAATAGCTTAAAAGTTTGTAGCTAAAATTTGACAATAACGTGTCGCTCATAATTGATTTCAACAGAGTCTGATGTTAGCATGTTGCTAAATATCACTCTAATTCCACGATTAATTTAGCTACGACAAAGATTTCATTCATTCCACTAATCTGACACTAGAATTGTTGATAAGCAAACCATTTGACTCACAATTGAGTTGGGTAAAAGTCTATTTTAAACTAATTTATCAATTTTTTAAGCACAATTTGGTTGTTTTACTTTTTCCTAGTCAACATATCTTTGTCATTATACAAGCACAACACATTTCTTTTTGTCTTCAAATGGTTGTTGCATATTTACAAAGTGAAACACTCATTTAAATAGAAAAAAAGATGAGAATGAAACACACACATATATATATATATATATATACACACACACACACACACACACACACATATACCCTATACATGTGTGCATGCATTCAAGATGTGTTCAAGTGTTGGGGTCAGAGTGATTTTCTCGTACAGCATGATGATTTACTTGTGCACACCACAATTGGATGATGATAGTCCACTCAAAAAAGAAAATTGTCATCATTTACCCACCTTCAGGTCATTCTAAACCTGAAAGACGTTCTTTCTTCACTAGAATGTAAAAGAAGACTCTCACATGTCATTTGTGTGATTTGAATATGTGTATATACAGTATATATATTGCATGTACCGTATATTGAGTATATTGCATGCATATATATATATATATATATATATATTATAGTGTATTTATATATAGTACAGATAACATATATGAGAAGAAAAAATAAGTATATAAGGCCTAAAATTATGTATGTGTAACAAGTATACAAATATAATAAGAAATTTACAGAGGTACAACATATTAGATAAACATAATTAGATGAATTTCTAAATATGATACAATATTGCATGTAGTGCATTCTGGGATTGCATATAGGGACTTAAAACAATTAATGTAATGCTGCCTTACAATTGGGCCAAAAGACAAATTGTCAGTTCATTTTTTCATAAAGCAGCATGATTTTAACCTTGTCAATTACACTTTTGATGCCTTAAAATGTTGTGTAGTTTGGCAGCTCACAGTTAATGAGGGCAGTGGCTGCTGATAAGTGTAACTGAACACCCATCTGAAGTCTGTCAGTGTGTGTAGGAGAAAAACAAGCCCAGACACCTCCAGATAACACCAGCATGCCCAGCAAACGCCAACCAGACGCTGCTCGTGGGAGACTGTGTGAAACTTCATTACAACACCATAATCACATCAGACCAGAGACGAACATTTCATTCATAAAAGGTTTATTGTAATAAAAATCGACTGTACAGCTCTATATCTGCACAAATGCATTTAAAAAATTTACATTAAAAGCAACCCTGCTTCAAAATAGCTTACAAACTACATCTAAAACAGTAAACGAGCTGCTCAGCAGCCCGCGAGATGCTACAGACGAGAGTCTCTGCTGGCACTCCCGCCCGAAACCAACCAACACACACAAAGCATTCTGGGAAAATACAATCACTTCCACTAGAGACGCCAGCGGTGGAGCCTCCAGTCCGTGCGACTCATTTCATGACATCACCAGAGGAAGTTACAGAGCGTATTGCTTGAATATTGCACAGTAAGACTTAAAGAGCCAGGCAGTGACGTTTATTAAGAGAGTGGTGGCGCTGTGGTTAAGGCAGAGGGCATTATGGGAGTTTGTTCACGTGGCGTCCGTCTTGTTAGCAGCTCCTGCAGAAATTATGAAGCACCACCACAGTTTTAGGCCTGAAATGTACTGAATGCAAATATGTTGCATTCTCAAAGTCACCACAGGTGGCGCTATAGCAAGCAAAACGCAAACATGTTTAATTATTATCATCATGATTGAGCTTTGCAAACGTACAGAAATCTGAAGTCAAGTGGCTAAAAGGTTTGCGCAAAGCCCGTTTCAGGCCCTTAATTGCTTTACATTCTCGTGAGGTATCATCGTAATTGCACTGAAACCGTGTGCGAGCACCAGTGAAAACACCCAAAACCTGTTTTGGGATTGTAAAAATAAACAAGAGCCACACGGAACAGTGCCAAAATATCGTCCGGTCGCGTAACAACCAGTGCTTTAAAGTTCATCTGAGATAAAGGCCTGAAATGTGAAGTCGCAGGAACGGCAAACTCTCGGCGGTTGGTCGGTCAGGCGCGGTACCGGCGGACACCGGTCGCGTGCGTTCAGCTGGACACCATCATCAGGTAGTTTTTGGGTGGACTTGTGCGGCTGCTCATCATGAAGCGGTTTTTGCAGTTCGCCGTCTGGTCGTACGCCGAGGGGGCGGGGCTTGAGACGGGCGGCTCGGCCTCGTAGAGTACGCAAATGGAGCCGTCCTCGCCGATGCGGTATGACACTTCGTACGGGTCGACCCAGAGCGTCAGCTCCCGTGGCAAGAGCGAGAAAAGCTGCCCGCTGGTCAGTCCGATTCGACCGGCCGCTCGGCCAATCAGAGGGTCCATTTCGTGATTGATCCGAATGCAGCGGTAACCGGATCCCTTCTGCGGCCTGTCGGGGAACCAGTGGTGCTGGTAGTGTTCTGGAGAAAAATAAACACTTTCGTTAGCATCCAAATCTTTTAGCATAGTATATGATCACTGAATCAATATGGAAGTACGCTGATATAGTGGTGATATTTTGTTAAACATGAAGTATAAAAACATTTATTTCAGTACCTGATAGCGCCTGCGCGAGACAGTCTCTAAAAACGTGTAGCTGCGCGTCACTCAAGCGTCCGCGGCTGCGCAATAGTCTGCAAACAAAACTCGCGGCGGCTGAAACCTCCGGGGTCATCTCTGCTCCGGTGCCGTGCATCACTGTATTCCGTTCAACAGAGTTAAGAATAAAACTGCTGGAAGTGAAAAACCACAAGAGCTGCTGTCCTTTGATGCTGGTGAATTAGTGCAGCAAGTTTAATGAGGATGAAGCAATCAACGTTCCCCGATCCAGTCGGTTCCGTTTCGCTGCGCTCCGATCTGTCGCAGAGAGCAGCGATTCCGCCGATAAATACGCACAAAGCCGTCGACGTCAGTCGCGCTGGTCTGAGCGACACGCCCAGCGTCCAATGAAACCAAGGGGCGGGTCTTCCTCGCGCAACCGATTGGTTGTCAGGATGGAAAACACTGCGTGTTGTGGTGACGCTCGCTTTCCGTCCGCGTCCAAATATGGAGATTGACGTCAGACGCCGCTCGGGTATGCGTGACGACATTCGGGGGAATAACAAAGATGCTGAACGCTCGCGCTTACCGTAAAGCCTCGGCGTTTAATTATAGAAGCGTGCGGCGTTCGGAGCTGGTTTTCCTCTCTTTTATCGTCTGACAAGCGTAGGTGACACCCGAGCAATAACTTACACACGAC